GATGAACAAAAATTGATGAATGGATATCATGAGAGTGTTGGAAATGGAAGTAAGTAGTCCCCGTGGTCAGAACAGTCTAGCAGAAGTGGTCACTGGGACTGAAAGGCCCAAACCAAAGCTGGGTAATTAGCCCGGCGGAAACAACTCCTGTACTGGGTCGCTGGACCGGTTTCCAGGAGGTGCAGCTCCTCACCAATAGACTGGAGCCTTCTACGTAGCACCCTACCCTCAGAGGGTGCTCGTATCACCTCCCAGGATCAGGACCCGCCTGCCGATCTTCAGATATGATGATCATACCTGATGCACATGACCGCATATTTAATCAGATCTGATGTTACTGATCTAATCTTCAGACCCAATAATCATATACGATGCACATGATCCCGTGATCGGATCTGATGTTCAAATCTTAACTTCGGATCTGGTCATTCAGTCAGATAATCAAAAGAGATGAACAGATACGACGGTCAGTTGTAAACACGAGAATCGGCATTCAAGCCCCATCATTAGATCTGTTCATCGCACTTAATGATCACATCTGATGACAAGTTCCAGATATCAGATCTGATTGTCTGATCCGAATATCAGATCCCATGATCATATTTGAATCTTAGATCAGAATCATCAGATCATCGTATCCGATGGTCAGGTCTGACTCAGTAAAGGGGGTCTGAAAGGTGAAATAGTCAGAAAAGAACATAGGTACAGGAGACAAGAGCTTAATCGGTCAAGATCAAACACCAACCTGATCACAAACATTGTATCTGGACTCCATTCACACAACTAGTACAGGTATCTTCCCCTGGTTCAAGCCCTTCTCCGCGTGCAAGCATGGTGTAAAGCCTTGAACAGTTGGACGTTCACATTCAGAATCTCGTCCCTTCGTCCTTGACATCTGTCCATGACAGTTGTAACCCACTTGTGGTGCTGAGTAAAAAAAATCAACCCGGAGTGGCTATGTTCTGTCAGGCTATCTGGTCAGTGGTTAACATTCTACAGTGACCGTTTACTTAATACGTTAAAGTCTGCGGCTGAGAAGGTCACCCAACCCGCAGTCTCGAGATTCCATCGCTACGAGTCCTGTGAGTCACTCTCTCTTACCGTCTCACGGTCTCACTCTTCTAGCCGACTTGGATTCAACCGCAAGTACACGGCCCGAGCCGCAAGTACACAGCCCCAGCCTTGCAGAAAGTTTTCGTTGCCACAAGCAAGACTCGGAGGGGCCGCGTGGCGTGGGGCGCCATTGAAAAAAGAAAATCGGCGACCTCCGAAGTGGTGCCGGTTTCATGCTGACACCCGCGGGCTGATGTGTGGTGTAATGGTGCGTTAAGCCAAGTCCCTTAGAGTCTTAGAGTTCTGCGCTTATAGTTGAATCCTTGATTACAACAAGATTGCCCATTCATCAGGAGACCGATTCCGACCACTCGTGCTGCCATCTGGCGATACGCAGATGACTTTGTGATAGTGATAGCCTGATAGGCATTACCGGCTGCGATAAAATTGCAGATAAATTATATATGCTGAGCGAAAAGGAAGGACATTATCCTCAACTTCCACACTAATCAATTAGATAAAATAAGGTCATGGGAGAGCTGCTCTGCAAAGTTGAGAACACATTGAAGTGGCATCCATTCCAACAGTCTCACATGCAAGAATTGAAGAGCATACCGTCATCACGAAGACGACCCTGGAAACATATCATAATCAAGAAGAAGACCATGGGCTTATGAGCACATACGTGATTCAAAAAGTGTCACTTGCGGTGGGAACAAAAGTTACTCAATCAATGGCATCTTCCTCCTCCTTGTGATCCAATCTCATACAGTTGTGTCAGACTCCCGAGCTCGACGACGTCGACGTTGCTCCGTCTCGCCTTGGCAGGTTGAAAAAGAAGTCTTAGACAAGTTGGGTCTCGCCCACCATCCTGATTTGGGAATTTTGGGGTGAGAAAACCCTAGTCACAGTGTAACCTGACTTAATTCCCTCGAACTCAAAAGTTTAGGCAACCTCACTTCGTCAATCTCCAGCTTAGGGTAAGCCCTAGGACAAACCATCTTTAAATATTAAATACAGGTTCTCGGCACGGTTAGGGTGACGTAACCCTACCTCACCAGCAGCTAAGCTAAGCTAAGCTCCAATATGAACTGCTATGATCCTGCCCCAATTCTTGATGCAAAAAAAAACACAAATTGGCATGACCGCTGTTCATCACAAAGCAAGAAGTGATAGAAGAAGACAGGAAAGGGAAGCGTCAAGACGAGAGGAAGAACACAAAAATGGATACACACTATTGTACACTTTAACCTCAGCCTCCAGCCCTTCTCCTCCTGGTGCTCTCAGCCTCTACGCCGTCTACGGTGCACTCCGGCTTACGAGATCCTTACCCAAACTGTTATCCTTCCTTCAAGTTCTTCTTCTTTTTTTTGTTTTTTTTTGTTTTTGTTTTGTTTTTGTTTTGTTTATCCTTTCTAAGTTCCTACAGACTCTTATTTCAGACCTCTGTATGTTTAGCCATGGGCAAGATACTATCATTACCTAGGCTACTGAAATGCTGCCAGAGTCCAGGGTCTTTCCAAGTTCAACTTGGTGGAAAATCCCTGCTGGGTTCCGGTGAAGTTCTACCTCTACCCATCTCCTTCCAGAACATCTAGTAATTCCTCCTGTAGGCTGTAGCCAAATTTCGGGTCTCTCCCTGTAATTCAACCTATGTGCTGCATGCACATCATCACTCATATCCTCAGCACTGTCAGCAGGTCACACAGACAGAGAAAAACACACTAGCAGCATTGGCTCACCGATATAAACTGAGACTCATAAACCTTAGCAAAGACATCGAACAGATTCGAACTTCATCAAAGACAACAACTCTTCTCAGAAAATGCAGATTTTATCACTGTGAGTTCAGTCTGTAACTGTGCAAGTCAGTGCATTCAGCGCTCGACGAAAAGCTTTCGCGTCATTTCTGCACCCTGGGATCTTCTAATTTCCTCCAAAAAGAAGGGAGGACTGTTACAGTGATTGCAAGTGGATAAAATTGGACGAGTTGAAGATGAGTGGATATCAGAGGGAATCGGGCCTCAGGAGTGGGAGGAAGAAGAAAGGGAAAGAAATGACCAAAAAGCATAGCGTCAAGACATTACCTCTATGGTCTTCGCGTTGAGAATGATGCCACTTGTTTGAAAAAGAAACTTGAGACCAAGAGAGAAACAAAGGTGAGTCAGCAATCCAGGCAAGAGAATTGAAGAGCTGGGGAAGAGAAGAAAAGAAAAGGGAAAAAAAGCAAAACAGAAAAAGTCTCCAAGCAGCGCACCATCCGTCTGCGTACTCCCCTTTGTCAAGCTTATGGCTTTATTAAGCATTTCAAACAAAGTTTATCATGACTATTTCTGTCTTTGAAACAGACTGAGGCAGTGAGGCGACGTCAACAAAATTTCTTGGCCACCAGATTGAACCCCTTGGCAAGCCCACAAGTACGTTTCAGAAAGCAGTCCCCTACATGAGAAACTTAAAAATGAATTCATTAATTAAAAAGATGGATCATATAAGCTTCATATACGTCTAACGATGAAACATAAATACTTCTAATCTTTCGTCCGAGAGAGACTGCCCAAGCCATTATATCAGACAGACCCCTAGGGAACGAGTTTCCAGAGAATTCCGTGTCCTGTTCTGTACAAAAACATGTCCTAGGATAATTATAAAAACTAAGTGTCCAAGTAAATAATACCTTTCTCGGCCTTTTAACTTAAAATAGATCAAGTGCAGTATCTGTTCTGCTTATCAGTTTAATATCTGATCTGTGGTCGATGGGACCACATTAAAAAAACAAAACAAAAACAAAAAAAAAAGTTGCAACGGCTGCTGGGTCACACCCAGGCTGACCCAGCGTTTCTTTTTTTTTTTTTTTTTTTTTTTTTCAATTGCTTCCCGAGGAGGGAAGGATTAACCCCACAACATGCAAAAACAAGCACTGCACGAGTACAGTCACCTACCACAGATTGAACCCTTCAAAGGCAGAAGATTTTGGGGGAAGAAGTGCAGGGCAAAAGATATCGAGTACAGCCCAGGACCTGGTCAAGCACTCCCTAAATGGACAGGAGCAGTCACAAGTAGGCTACAGAGCACGTGTCATAGAATATCCAGCACAGGCAAAAGGCCAGACGAATTCTAAGTGATGATGACCATAAGCCCAGTCAGACACAAAATGATGATGACCAAGATAGAGCAGTACACATGGCACCCTACCACGACACAACTGAGCACAGAACGAGCCAGATGGGAGGGCACATGTATCTGAGATGGAAACGATTCATGACAAAGGAGAGCACACGGGAACACCTGCGGGTGTGGCATCAAATTGAGCATCCGGCTATACTCCCCATCCGCCCCCACAGTGGGGAATGCAGATCATGTGCAAAGTGGATGTCAGGGGGCCACCACCCCAATCCCAATGGAGAAGAGATGATGCCAGGGGGGGGTGCAAAAAGGAGCACGACCAACCAAGCGCCCCTCTCGGTCCTAAACAGCTGGACACCAATCAAACGTAATCTGAAAACCCATCATTGAAAGCACATGCAGCCTCAAACGGACGAGCTTCCTCGCCAAGCACCCCTCCACCCCCCTTCCTTCTGTCAGCCATTATGTGCCAATGGCAGCCATAGCAACACAATCCAGAACCAAGAAAGGAGGGAGGGGTAGGAGGTAGGAGAGAGCCTTCCGCTTCCCATCACGCTACCCCATGCCGACACGTGCGAAAGGCTGAGGCGGTAGCCATTTACGGACTATACAGCTACAATGACCGGGCGTTCTGTTCGGGTGAAGACAGTAGCCGTTTAACGATTAGGTGAGACAGCGCTAACCAAAAGTGGGACGGACTATGGCTGAAACAATCTTCGAGCCTGAGAACAAAGCTTGAGCTATTGCTGCAGAATAATTTATTGGGAAATCCGTAATCCGCATCCAGTGCTTCTTTATACAGGATGTATCTGGTCATAGTTACAAGCACTTTGCTCTGAGAACAGTGAGAAGGCGCCACTCTGAGGACGCCCTTGTTGCTATGCCACTATGATCTCTGGTAGTTCATCGTCGTCCTGCTGGTGCACTGGTCCTGTCTGGACTCCCTGCTGTGCATTCTCTGCTGCCATCCCGACTCCCCCTTGTGTACTCGCTTGCGCCGGCTCTCCCCTGGGTCCGATGGTGGCATCGGGACTCCCTCTCCTGTGTTCATTGGCGCATTCTGCACTCCCTCCTGTGGGTTCACTGGGATTATCCGGACGAATCCTTGGGGGCTCACGCGTGTCATCACGACTGCCTCCTGGATGTCCACTGACCCCACTTCGACTTCCCCCTGGAGGGCTTGGTCCCATCTGGATGCCGTACGGTTCTGGTGTCCGCCCTGGCATATTCCCACCCTCTGGAGCCGCTGCTGCGTCCGCTTCGTTTTCTCTGCACCAAGTCACCCACTCGTTCTTCGTTTCCAGCAGACTGGCCCTTGAAGGCAACCATAGATCCGCCGTGTTGATGGGGTCATTCGGCGGCCTGTCGACGTCGTCCGGCAGATTGTCAATTCGATGAACTACTTTGTTCATAACCGCTACAATCCCGCGTCTGATGTCGGCATTGCACCTGACCTCCAGATGATCAAGATGAAGCCGCCGGTGCAGTCCGGCACAAGGCTTTCTGAGGAGTGCCACCATTGGAGGGACGAACACCGTCACCAGCTTGTCATCGAAAGCTTCCGGTGGGTAGCTCTCGAGCACGAGCTCGATGACTCTGATCGCATTCCTTGTCGCCAGTAAGCGATTCAAGTCCTGCTCGAGGATCTCCATCCTCTCGTCTGTAGTGAGAGCTGCCGCCAAGTCCTCGCACAAGCTGATCGCAGGTAACCAAGCGGGATTTCCCAGAGATTCCCAGCAAAGGAGAATAAACTGAGTGAAAAGCGTGCGCCCGCAATTCCTGATGCGGACAAAGCAAGCGGCGTCCCATCGGGAACCCAAGGCTTGAGGATCTGGTCCTTGGATCGCTCCCTCTTTCAGCGTGCAGACCAGGCTTTTGAATAGGGAGACGAAGAAGTCCTGATTCTGGCTTGGGTCATCAGGAAGAATGCTCTCCACTGGAACTCGACCTCGCTGATCTCCAGGTCCATGGACTCGAAGACGACGAGTTGGAATGCGTTTCAATCTCGATTCTTCTTCCGTTAGACGCCTAAGCTTCATGATTACCTCGTCGCCTATGGTGTCCGATTGCGTGCTATGTGATGGCGATCCTGAAGGCAGGTTTTGCGCATCGTCTGGCTGAGACAAAGATGGCCCCGCTGCGTGAACTGCTGCGCCGTTTGCCGCAGAAGAGGCTGTCCGGGCTGTGTACGACGGAGAGGCGGGTGGGGAAGCGCCTCTAGCGACTTGTAGGTTGTTGGCGTTTACGGTCTGTTGGGCCACGTCCCTGCCGGGCAACGACCTTGGCCGCAATTCAAGTAAGTCCGCTAGGAGTCCCGCAGCAGCCCATGAGCATGTTATTGGATGATCATTGCCGACCATGGACCAGCAGTTCGTAGTGTTCTGTGACAGGAAATGCACTAGCGATTCATCGAATTTGTCGATGTCCGCATAGAATCGGACGGCTCGGAGTCGACTGACCTGAGGATTAAGCATCAACCGCACACAATTCACGCCTCCCGGGGATTTGGCGATGGCGAGCTCGAGCTTTCGTTTGCTCTCCGCAGAGGCAACATGAAGGAGATCTCGCAGCGACTCCACGGCTTCTGTAGCGAACCAATCAAGCTCCCGCGTCCCGAGTGCGCGTCTCCAGTACTCCAAGCACTCTAGCAGAAGCCTGGCAACGTCAGTGTCGTCCGCTCTTAAGTTCTGCGAGATGAAGATCTTTGCCAAGTGCAGCTTCGAGAAGGCCGACAAAGACGCCGTCTTGGCCAGACACAGCTCTGTTCGATGCCTCAGCACTTGAAGGCTCAACTCTTTATACCCCCCCAAGTCTGCCATGACATGGAGAGGGGGAGGAAAATCGTTGACAGGGGCGTCCGTCCCGTCGTTTGTACGACCCTGAGCGGGATGAGATTGAGTGCCACAGCTCAGCCGCAAGTCGTGTCGATGCCAATACATCAGCCTACGTGTCCAAAGCCAGGAGAGAGTTCTGATGCAGTCCGCAGCTATACTGCTGGACCCCTCCTGCTGTACACAGCCCAGGAGAATCAACAGCGACCTTGGTTTGATCAGGACCTTCTTCACACACGTCACCCAACGCTGATCGACCTCCACTAACCCTCTCGGCCATGGGGTGTCAAGAGGCCATCCTAGCGGACAAATGGTTGTGAAGGCGTAGCTGAGCCTGCTCACGTACCCCCTCATTTCCTCGTGATCGTCTGGTAAACGCCTAGCTCGCAGAGCTTTCCCGACAGGACAGTGAACAAGCGCATTGACATCACTAGCCGCACGTGCAAACGAGCAGATTGCAGAGGCGGCGGCTTCCTGGATCCGCAGCTTTTCATCTTTGGCTCGATCGAAGCCTCCTAATGCGTAAGGTTCCAGAAGGTCGAGCAGGAGGTAGAGGGAATCCTCGGTGCAGTAAATGAAGTCGTCGTCTGTGAGCATATTGACGACGAAATCGGTGTCTTTGCTGTCTTCGCTGTCGCGGTCGGGCTGCCAAGGGAGGACAGACAGTCCAGCAGCGAATCCGGCGAGGATGGAAGCCGCAAGTCGGGCGTCAACAGAGTCTGGCGGGGAGCACTTGAGCACCTGCAGCATCGCTACGTAGCCTTCGGCTTGAGCGAAGTCGAGACCAGCGTCCATGTCATGTCTGCAGCGGCTCGTCCGCGGCATATCCTGCATGTAGCACGCCGTCTCATTAGACACCAGCAGATCGCAATTGTCGCAGGCCTTGCACGCTCTCGACAGCTCGAACAAGGACTCCAATGCCATGGTAAGCTTCCTTCCCGTCGTGATCTCTGTCCGTCGCTCATCCCGTCGACGATTCTCATCTGTCAGATAGGGTAGGTGGCGCCTCACGTCGTTCAGCAACTTCTCCACGCTATAGAACCAGTACCCCGGCAGGCCACATTTGTCTTCGTGCGCTTGAGCTTCGTTGGCACCGAACTCGAAGTGCCGATGAAGGTGAACGTACCATGTGATGCCTGTCTCCATCTCCCTCTGGAACCGGTCTAACCTCTCCGAGAACGGACCCCCAACGCTTCTTACTTCTGGATTGCCGGAGGGGGGCGAAGGGTCCCCAGCCCTCGGTTGGGGAATACCGGAGGCAGCGGAAGGGTCCAAGCACGAGCATGAGAAGAGCTTGTAAAAGAGAGAGAAGAAGATCAAACAGAAGACAAGAAAAGAGTGTAGCAAAAGGCAGGAGAAGGTGGCGTAGATGAACTCTCTCAGACGGTGTATACCCCACTCTTCTTCGTAGTCATGGTATCTCTTTAGGAGAGGAATATACTTATACAGAAACCATGTCAGCACAACTTGCCCAACCATAGACAGAAGTCGGACGACAGCAATCATAGCGACGTAAGTAAACGTCGAGATTAACTTTCCCTCAATCAATTGCAATGTACCGAGTTTGAACCGGTACGACTTGCCCTGGCAAATGGCAACCTGCCGGCAAGACATGCTGTGGAAATAAACCTTGTGGATGAAACCTCGACACAGCTTCGATAGTGCCTCGAGAACTGTCAGTGCCACGCAGGGCCAGAGGATTTGTGCGGGCATGAATTGTCCGAATGCTCCCACATTCAGTGACAGGACGAGCATCACCAAATAACCCAGAGCGTTCTCCACTAACTCAAAGCAAACATAAGTTTTAACCTGACGCTTTAGCGTCGGCGATACGGAGTACACCATCTTCGCTCGTCCTTAGTTCTACCTCACGCCCCTCCCTGCTGCCTCTCTCTCTCTCTCTCTCTCTCTCTCTCTCTCTCTCTCTCTCTCTCTCTCTCTCTCTCTCT